TATATACCAGTAGTTAATGGAGGTCCAAAAATGTTACCTGGATGAAGTTCAGCCCTTATTGGAAACTCCTCAGTGGCGATAAATTCCGATTACTTTACAGTTCACCGTCTCCTAGACAGATACGACTCAAATATATGATAAAATTGGTTAGGCGAAGTTTTATAGATTTTGTGTAAAACGAGTTAGCTCTGATCAATTTGTTTTTGTTAATTCTAAACAATACCAAATTCTTTGCAATTACTTTATTAGTTTTCCTTTTAAATTCTCGAACGATCGGTAGATTGCTGAGGATAGCTCAGGCGAAATTCAACCACCAACGCAAACATAAATTCGCCGTGTAATGCTCTTAAGTTTCGGAGTAATTTACAGCCAATACAAATATTCAGTGAAAGCCAAACTCTTATATGGAACGTTTGCAACGTCTTTAAAGACTATTTCTAAGTGGTTCCGAAGAATACAGACCAGACGCTTTTCCGTAGAGTACGACCAAAATCTTCCACTGATGACGTCACTGTAGCTCTGCTGAAGTTCAATATTGACGCGAATACGCGAAGAAATATGCCTTATGGGTATCGCAAATTTAAAATGAGGCCCAAATAGAGGCTCCAGTCTACCTTTCCTAAACAAATTCGAAAATGGTCAGTCTAACAACTTAAGTTAAGTTTTTACTGCTGCCAAATCTTGGTTCCATAAGTACGATTCTGAAATCAAATAGCAGTCCATGGTATGGATCTCAGCATGAGCAAGCACACTCGCAAAATCTAAGAAACAAACACCAGCAGCAAAAGTAATGATTTTACCTTACGTCATCCGATCTAAAATCGTAGCTGCTTTCCTAGTGGAAAAGGGTCAGACGGTAACTGCCAAATGGTATACCGAAGAGTGCTTAACAAAAGTTATCTAAAATTGATACCCAGAAATACGTCTAGCATCATATTTACCGTATATATCACCTTGTGATTTCTGTTTTTTTCCAAAAATTAACAAAAAAAAATAAAAGGAAAGGTTTTTAATAGCAACGAGGGAAATAATTATTGCGGTTAATGCTGTACTTGATAAGCTTAGAAAGCAAGATTATTTTCAGACTGTTTTCAGAAGTGGATCTACAAAGAGAGGGAAGATAAAAAGGACAAAGATTACGAATAAATACAAAAAAAAATTTTTTTTCTAGTTAACTTGTCGAACTTTTGTTAATCTCCCGTAGACCTTTAGCCAAAGCTTGTGCTTCATTATGAAATATTGCACAGCAATACCTTTTGAACTCGAATGCATTACTAATTTCATTACTAATTCGGTTTGCTGGTTCTACAGTACCATGTTTTTCACGAAAACCGCCCCAATACTGGTATAGTTCTGTACGATGGAGTAAAATATACATCCATTAATTTGGAAGGACAGTGCATGAGGGTTATTGGTTTTTAAGAGAAGCCTGCGTGTGGTCCTTACCTTTGCAAACATAATGAATAGATAAGAGGGATATTCAAGCCGGTTTTGTGAATTCTGTTATCGATATGCGGTAGTTTCTTATGTGTATATTCTTCCAGTAAATTTAACAGATTGTCATCATTTTACCCAGTATCTATTTGACAAATTTGATAGTTTTTTCATTACTTCGTTGCCTAAAAAAAAATTCTATAATATTTTTAACAAATTTTAATCAATGGCTTTAGAAAAAACTCTGTGGCGAGTTTACTGAAATAAAGCAAAAAGGAACTGCGCTGCTCCTCTCTTTCTTCCTCTATTTTAATTTTGAACATTTTAGTATTCTGAAATGATTTTGAAAAGATTTAAATGAAATCTACGATGCTCATATAACTATAGAAAATTTAGTGGGGAAAAATAAATAATAAAAATCTTTTCAATGTTGTGCCAGAATCCTAAAATGCTTCAAAATTCAAATAAAAAAAATGTTTGAAAGTAATTTCGCTTGTTTTGAAGAAACTTCTCAACCATTAAAGCTTCTAATATTTTCCCTAAAAGCTATAATTTGACCTAGAACATATCGAGAATTTACGTATATCAATTGCTTCACGAGGTCCTGAGAAAAAAATTGTTTTTGATATTGTGAAAATCCTTTTCTTTTAAGAATAAATATAAATCTTAAACTTGTAGTGTCGAATAATTTCTGAGCACATAAATATGGCTTTGATAATTTAAAAAAAAAATTTAAAAAAAAAATTTTATTTAAATTTTTTAAATTTTGTTTTATAAAAAAACTATAACCCTGGCTCGAATAGATAGTGTTTTGTCATTCCCTACTAACAAATAATGTTTTATTCTAAAGCCCATATGTACGTATACATATATTTATACTATGTATACGCAACATACATACATATGTATGTATGTGCAGGTATATTGTTAAAAATATCAATTTTATGGAATTATCTCTGGTCGAAACTGAAAAATAAAATGTAACCAAAAATATTGGGGAAGCTTAAGTCAGCCTATGATAAGCATTGATTGATTGACTAATACGTCAGTGATTCTTATGCAAGTTGATATGCTTCCTACATATAGTATATTCGTATTTCACATACATACTCGTATTATATGACCACCACTTGGTATTAAATATATTGAAATGATATTGAAATGTGCCCAAAAATGTTTGTGCATTTACATATATGGAATCACTTAGCTAAGCTCATATTTCCGTAATGATGACTGCTAAGGGTTAAATAATTTGGTATTATTTGTATTTTATTGCAGTCATAAAGTCATAATCTTAGTAAATAATAAAAACTTGCCACCGAAAATCATTATATTTTATTAAATTATGATATATTGTACATACATACATATCATATATAGTATGTATATGTATAGTATTTTTTTTTTCAATTTATCAAATTATTTTAGTTTATTTGATTTCTTTTGAAAGGTTTTTTGCCGACATACGATAAAGGCATTTCATTGCTGCTGGTGTTAAAGATGCATATATGTATACATACATATCTATACATACGTATGTTTGTGTGCCGGCGACGGCAATTGGCTCGTTGACTTAGTGGAGCAGATTTCCAGGGTGAGCTAAATGAACCAATTCAGTTGTTGATTCAATTGAATTTAGTTTTTATGACATTAAAATAGGCAATAAATGCATTAGGGGCGTTCAAAAAAAAGTCACTTTCTCACCTTACCAAAAAGCAGCCGTTATAAATATGTAGTTGATCATTGATTAAATCAATCTATATTTCAGATCTGGAGGGTGTATTTTAAAACATGTAGTTTTCAAGAAGGAACAAGTAAATAATGTTGTAGCCAAGAATTTCAAAAAGTATCGCGAATTTTGAATTTTCGCGGACTACGTATAATCGAATTTTGATTTTTTTGTGGCGTTATGTTGGTACTCATGTCTGTCACTTATGCCGACAAGCTCGGTCATTTTGAATGTTCACTTAATTGTTGACAGCTGTTTTGCTTGCACGAGTTTTGGATGGTCTTCGATTTTTACCTATTCAAAAAAATTGGTTCAAAGAATCTGTATAAAATTTTGTGTGAAAAACGAAATTAAGTGCGCGGATGCATTCCGAATGTTTACTGTGGCATACGGAGAAGCTACCTTGGACCAAAGCAACGTTTATCGGCGGTACAAGATGTTCTCAGAAGCCCGAGAAGATGTGAACGACGAAGAGCGTGCCGGACTCACTACCACTTCAACAACAGACGAAAAAATTAATTGCAGGGGCTTGGTGCATCATGAGTTCTTGCCCCAGGGTAGAACGGTCAATATTGCAAGCTATGCGCTATTCGCGCGAATCACTCCGCTAGAAACGCCCGGATTTGTGGAAGAGCAAAAATTGGCTTTTGCACCACGATAAGGCACCTGCTCACACATCGTTACTTGTGCGCGACTTTTTGGCCAAAAACAACACACTAAAGATGCCGCAGCTATCGTATTCCCAAGATCTGGCCCCCTGTGACTTTTTCTTGTTCCCTAAACTGAAGAGGCCCATGAAAGGACGACGTTACGCTACGATTGACGAGATAAAGACGGCATCGAAGGAGGAGCTGAACAAGATAAAGAAATGATTTTTTGAAGTGCTTCGAAGATTGGAAAAACCGTTGGCACAAGTGTATAATATCTCATGGGGATTACTTTGAAGGGGACAAAAGAGATATTTATGAATAAATAAAATTTTTTTGAAAAAACACAAAATTCGCGATATTTTTTGAACACACCTCCTATAGTGATACCCATTGACTATAACAATATGGTCGACCTTAATTTTATAGAAATTTGGACCGATAATTCCCTCTGCCCGTAGAGCATACCAACCATTGACTTTTTCAGTATGTAACAATGTATCAATAATGACTTATGGATGAACATCACTCCGAATTCGACCATTTTGTTTATTGAAGTACCCATTCAACTTAAAGTGAGCTTCATCGCTGAACGAAATCGTCTCGTGGAAATCAGGATCGGCAGTTATCTCATTTTGGGTGAGCTTTCACCGAACGTGCATGATGTTTCATTATTATGTATCGGAAGGAAAGTTGTGCTATTTGCATGACCATGGCTGTATATATATATATATATATAATTGGCGTTTTGTAACCGGTGAAGCGATTTTCGGCCGAGCAACGCCGCGTCTTGATATTTTTCCAACAAATGGACGGACCTACAGTTTATACTAAGCCGCCTCTGAACGGCTGATGTTTTTTTTTTTTGTGAGGAGCTTCTATTTCATGTCAGAAATACACTCGGCGGGGCCAAAATGTAAGTTATTTTTTTAATTAAATTAATTTTTTATAACTTTTGAATATTGATCGTGCCACACGCCCCCATCCTTCACCTAAATACGCCAAAAAAAAATCATTTATTGCCAGCCCCATTTTTTTTTTACTATTTTTTGGAGAGGAAAAAGCATTTGTTTTGTAACAGAATTAATCTTTATTATATCATCATAAAACTAAAATCAAATTAATATTATAATGATTATGAACAATTGCACAAATAGTAGTAAATAGCAGTACACATGAATATACGCACATACGTGTATATAAACACATACGAGTGTACGATTGTACATATGTATGTATTATTAACTGATAACTGGCGCAAGTGGATGGCATCAGTTAAATTGATACGTCTCCATGCACGTGCAGTTGGGGAGGGTGCAACGCGGCGCCAAATTCGACAGATGACCCATTGTGACAGGAAACGAGAGCGGCACAAACCATTTGGGATAGGCGCAAATGGTTGGCGTGGCATTACTGCCCACAGTGAGCCCAGATTTGTTCGAGTACTGTGAATTGATAGAAAAGTGAAGGGAAATATTTTTAATTACTTTTTTTAAAGCAAATTATGTGCTACATATGTATGTACGTATGTGTTTACCAACTCATTAGTGACTGGCTTAAAGGCGCTTCGAATTACAGGAGACGTTATCACAGATGTCTCCTGATTAAGCGCTGTTGCTGCATTTGTTGTTGTTGTGGGTGACTCTAAATTCAATGCATTACTCTTTGTTGGTGTTACACTCTCAATGGCGCGCACTAGATCCAAGTCACAACGCTTCAATATCAACTCCAATACGGAACGTTTTCGGTGCGGAAATAGTTGGGCCAACATGTCTATAGCACTCTGCGAGACTACGCCTGGCGAAGGTGGAGTTGTTGGTGAGATTTTGGAAGTGGCTATAAAAAAGTAGATAAAAAATATGTGTATATGTATGTATATAAATTTTAACTGTGGGAATTTTAAAGATTTGTACGCAGTAGTTCTCTATTTGAGCTTAGCAATGGCTTAAATGGCAATAGACTTTACCAGAGGTTTGGCGCTATTAAACAGCAGCGTCGAAGGCGCGTTTGCAGAAGAAGAATTCAGTTTTATATAGAGTAACAATGACAACACCCTCCTGTAGCCCAAGGCGAGATAAGAGCAGCAATACGAGTATGACGACTTAAAATTACAAAAGCTTTTTGAGCTGATGGTATACCAACTGAGCTGCTCAAGGCTGGCCAGCTCTTAAGCGTAGTTTGATCTGATGAATATATGCACTAAGATTGGAATCTTAGTGTGCTCTACTGAATCATCAAGAATGGAGATTCCGGCTTCTGCGACAAGTGTGAAAGTTTGAAGCCTTTTTATGAGTGAAATTATTAGACCTGATCAATATGGCTTCAGGCCTGGTAAATCCACTATCGACCAAACCGCACGCCAAGCCCTGGAAAAGACCATAAAAGCCGTGAATAATAGCGTGAAACGAAGCTGCCTATACAAAGAGTCCTCGCAAAACTCATATGTCGTCCAAATTGGGAACTTTGTGCCGTTCGAATTCCAACGAGGTGATTCGCTATCGTGCGACTTCCCCAATTTGATGCTGGAGAGCGGAGTGATGCTGTCGGCTTACACAGATAGTATTGATATTATTGGGCGACGCACCAGAGTCATTAGTGCGACTCTCCACAGAATAGAATAGAAGGCAAAAGAAATTGGTCAAGCAGTGGATGGGGACAAGCTTTGAAATCCAACGAAGAATCACTCTTGCCTACGGGAGCTACTTTGGATTCTAAAAAAATAAGCTCTTGTGATTTACATCATACCCGTATTTTTGTAAGCCTCAGAAACCTGGACGATGACAAAGAGAAAGGATAATTATCTAGGAGCATTTAAGAGATCTATTCTAATATGAAACCACGTCCCATATTAAAGAAGATGCGCATGCCCCTGGCACAGGTCCAACGTATCTATCTTATTGATAGAGCAAACGCGGCAAAGGCCCTGGAAGTTATTTCTGATACCAGGCCAAGTTACCTACAAGCGATCTATGAAACCTTTAGGTTGTAGTCGATTTCGGCCAACCAAAACCAGTTCATCATTCGCGTCCTGCTGTATGGAGCAGAAGCATAGACGTTGACAACATCCCACGAATCCACTTTAGTAGCTCCGAGAGAAAGGCTTGGCGGTAGATTTGTGGTTCTCTGCGCTTAGGTGACAGCGAATACCAAAGTTTCTAGAAGAATGAGACTTAGGATATAGACATAGAGCCTACCACTAAGCTATTGTGGGACTGCTTGAATTGCAGACAAACTAAGCTCTTTCTAGCACTAAGCAGAAGAAAACTGAGTATAGTAGGTGTATTGATAGGGGTTGATAGAAGAGAACGAAATCCTGGAGCACCACGCACCACCTCTGCGAGTGATCCGCCTGCACTTGGTTGAGGCGTCATATATACCACGATGATCTCAGCTTCAGTCTTACGTAATTGGACAAGCATGGTTGGAAGACTATAAGACAATTTATCAAATCGCATGAATTATTCTAGAACACATAGTTGGATTAAGCCGGGAAGCACAATGAACCTACTCAATAGCGTAAGTGCGGCCGTCCGCGGTCAAATTCCTCAACACTTATTTTTCAACCAACGAACCAGGCAATGTTTTCTCATCTGTTTAGTGAGGAGAATAGCTTATTTATAAAGCAGTCCAAAGCAGTATTATAGACACATTCTTTCCCAATACTGATGGCACCACTGGGGCTACCACATTCAATTAAAAGCTTCAGTCGCGCTGAGTTAAAACAAATATCATACAAATTTACTTTCTCCCTTCCTTACTCACCTGTTGCATCTTGACTGAAGCCAACGCCACAACTGGACGTACTAAGATCTTCTGCCATCTGCTGTATTTGATGTCTCTGCTCCAACCGTTGCGGCTGCGAATCCACTCTTTCCAATGCAATCTCACTCACATCCACGCAATCGTCCAAGCCGCTCGTGGAGAGACCGAAAATTTGTCCTTCCGGCAAAGTATCGATTTGTTTGCCCGTCTTGGTGGCCATCAATCGCAATGCAATGGCATTCTCCACCGCCTGTTGACGCTTTAGGGCAACCTGAAGTTTATAAATATGTATATATGTATGTAATGTGTGTAATAAAAACAAATGGCTTAGTGAATAAAAATGATATGTAAACAGAAAAGCGCAAATAAATTGGGAACACAGTTAGTACATATGTATATAATAGAGTATGTTTATAACTGCATTCATATATATGTAGGTGTACATATGAGTATGTAGGCATAGCTGGATCACATTTTATTTGGTGTAAATTGAAATTAATATGCGACGCAGCGGACTCGCTTCGCTGACTACCCCAACGCCGATTATTTAAGTTTTTCACCCGCGTATTTGAGTTATTCTATTAGCTTCTGTGCATTTTGATTGACTTTTGTGTCTCACATTTCATTTATTTTCACATTCTGGTCAGTCGGATGTCGCCGGAAAATGTGGCAGAGCGAGAGGAAAGGGAGCCGAATCTCTTCCTCCCACTTTAATATAATATTTACATTTTGTTTAATACATATACATACATACATAAGTACCAAAACATGATAATACATACATATATATATATATAAATATATGTATGTATATATAATTATTTTTATACCGCTCATGCCACGACTCAATGTTCATATCCTTTTATCAAAACTTGAATGGAACAAGTTTATGTGATCCCATGCCACTGCCGCTGGCAATTATGTACAGAGTTTTCCAAGAAGATGTGTTATTTTGATATTTAAAGAAAAGTGGCTTTTTTGAGTCAATTCCGTTTAATAATGAAAAACAATATCAGCCAAATGGTCGCCACGGCTACGCTTACACAGGACCGTAAGCTTTCTATGAAATTTTCCATCACCAAATCGCAAAGTGGCTGCTGTATGCCTTCAGTAGCAACACGAATTCCATTTTTGAGGTCTGGAATCGACGTTGGCCTGTTGGCATAGATCTTATATTTCACGTGGCAGCAAAGGAAGAAGTCGCAAGGTATTAAATCACAAGATCTTGATGTCTCATTGCGATCGCTTCTTCGAGAGACAATTTGGTACGGAAACTTTTCCCATAAAAGATGGCTAGTTCCATTGCTTGTGTGTTACGTAGAGCCGTAGAGCCGTCTTGTGGAAACTAAAAGTTGTCCGAATAAATACCAACCAGTTCTGACCATAAAAAATCATTATTCTTCTCTCGATAGCGCAATTAATCCATTAATTTTCGAATAAATAAGGTTCAATAACCCCATCGGACCATAAACCACATCTACGAGTTACACGTTGAGGATAGAGTGAATAGTCTCTCGGGTTTTCCGAGTCCCAGTTGTGACAGTTTTGCTTATTGACGTAGCCATCGAGTTGAACGTGAGCCTCAGCAGTCAAATTGATTTAATCGATAAAATTCTAGGTAATTTTCATGCAATTCAAGAACCCGATCTACGAAGATACGACACTGTTCATGATCAGCCGGCTTGTGTTCTTGTGTTAACTAAACTTTATAAGCCTTAATACTCAAGTTTTTATGCGAAATTCGGCGTAATAACGCTTGTGGAATGCCAATTGACAAAAACGACGCGGAATAGACAAATCTGGGGTCTCCTGAAGGCTTTCGACTGTAGCAGCAAGTAATGCTCGCTAATACTGGATGTGGATTGAGCCAGCATTCTCAAATTCTTCGATAAAAAAAGTTAGCTGGAAGGAACATATCGACAACGGAACCAGAACAAAATGCAGCGAATTTGGAATACCGGCAGAAGGGCTATAGCGCCAAAATTGAGCTTGCGCCTCCGAATAGTGCATGGGCTTTAAACAGTGTCGTATCTGTTTACTAGGCATAGCAGGCGCCATGGGAACTACTTCAACAAATACATAAATGAAAGTCATCCCTGAGACCAGACTCATTAACATACAAGTGATTTAAGAAACGGCTCTGAGCTACTAGCCGCCTAAATAACATTGAGATAATTTGATTCATTTACCCAACTGTGAAGCACATGGCGTCATTCATAAAGTTATGAGAGAACTCAGGCTATATGTACACAGCGGCCAAGAAAAGGAGACCTGCTGCTAGGTGCAAGCCACAAACTTTTAGAAGGTATGCCCATCAGCAATACTGATCATTTCGACATACTTACCGATCAGACGCGAGACAGGCACACGAGCAGGGTTATTCTGTGACCTTCGAAATAGCCAAGCTGGCTTCAAACTAAATGACTACAACTCTGTCTTCCAAGCGGAGACTGTGGGTTTTACTGAAGGCGTCAAATTGACAACCATTTTAACAGGGGAATTTTTTAATTAAGGCAACAAAATGCCACTTACGTCCCAGAACCCACGATTGTAAAAGGTAACAAACAGGCGCATGAGCTGGCTCACGTTGACGATGTTAACTGTCTCAGACCTCTCAGCGTCTTCAAATGTTGTTTACAACAGTGGAACCTAGAGGGGAACCCTTGAAGCTCTGGAGCAATTCCAATTTAGAACTTGTCACTAAACTTCTGAGGGACCACCAAACTCTTGCAAACATTAAGCAAAAAAGAATTTAGCATTATGGTCGGTGCACCGACGGAGCATGTACAGTTAAGATATCATCTCTAAACAGCAGTTATGGTAGAATCAGCAAGGTTTAGAGCCTGCACAGAGGTGGACGTAACGCTGGGCATTACCTTTGCGAGAACCCGGCTTTCAACGAATGAGTGGTGAAATCTTCCACGATGCTCCGAGCTCCAACCTTATGTTGAGGGGTAAATATGGCTGCAAGAAACTAAAAAAATTTATTAAATCGAACGATTTGCTCGTTAAAGCTTAATTGGGATAAGCAGGGGAGCACAATAAAACTACTCAATGGCAAGGTCCTTAATTTCCCCTTTCAAAGAACTAGGCCATGCAACACGCTGCTAACCCTTCGGCCTCTACACCCTTAAACATTTTTGCGAGAATAGAAGAACGCAGACTGATATTGGCGAAGATAAGTTCCTTCCTCGGCCTGAAATAAAGATATTCCTGAGTAGAGAGAAAGTGGTAACAGGGTATCTGCTCAGAAAAGCCACCAAAGGGACTCATCGTGATACCTCTGAGGGTTTCAAAAAATATCCAACGTCCTGTGAAGCCAATGCGTGTGGAGTTTCCAAGCCTTGACAATCACATAATTTTCATTCATTTAATTTTGGATATCGCCAATGTAAGGTATAATGTCCTCGACTGCTCTTTTATTTTATTTCATTTTGTTTTATTTGTTGCTATTTAGCAAATAAATGTTGGAACTAAATCTCAGCTTTTTTGCCACTTGGGAATCACACAGTCAACACAGCGTCGTACATCGCCGTAACTGTAACTTGAGTAGCCTTCGGCCGAGTGTCTATTAAGCAAACACAAAGTTAGTGAACTGTTGATGCGAACACTTGTGCAAACATAGAAATGGATATGGACATTTGTTAGCTGAAAACTGTATTCTCCTCTTTTCTTTCAAGAATATTTATATTCGGTTTTTGTTTTTGCTTAAATTAATACGATTAATACGATTAACGCTCCTTTTCTTCTTCAGTGGCACAGATGCACACCAAACGTTTGTTCTTTCGGTGTACGGTGCCTTGTTACCTCCAAGTCGGTTGAGGTCTCTCTCTTAACTTGAAATTTTCAACGGAGTGCAGGTCTTTCCTTCTGTTCTCACCAGCGGATTCCCTATGAAAACATCCAATTCATCTGACGCCTACGGGAGCCGAGTGGTTAGCATCGCGCGCCATTCGGAAAACCAGGGTTCGAGTCAAGATCCCATAATTATAAAAAAATAATTTAAATAAAAAAGTAAGTTAAATTTTCTAATTACAGTCGCCACACGACAGCGAATGTCAACCCGTCCGAGTGTATTTCTGACATGAAACAAAAGCTTCTCATAAGAAAAAGCCATCGCCCGGTCGGGGGGAGCTTAAGAGATACCCTCTATTGTTGGAAAACCACAAATCAGAGGAGGAGCTCGATTGAAAATAACTTCAGCGGTTACAAAGCGCCATTTATATTAAATTCGATGACATTTTTGTGAGTTATTCAGTTCTTTGGGGTGTTGAGGCATAAGTAAGCCAGGGAAAATTTCATCCTTAGACAGCTGGAATTACAGCGCGATGTCTGAAGTTGCTGTTAAATAGCCCCTGCGGGTTAAAGGTTGAAGAATTTACCCGCGGTAAGGCATGCCTGTCATAAGAGGCGACTAAAATCCAATTGTTCCCGCGACAGTCGGGTCTTTATACCGGACCAACCTTAATTTTTAACCGGCCAAGGACTGTCACTACGGCAACATTCCCAAAAAGTACTTTGGGGAATTTTTTCGCAGTTACAAAAACAACAACAACAGGTTGGTGTAAAATATCATTGGTGTATGTTCTTGTAGAAGATTCCTCCAGTTCGGCTTAGCTCTGCATGTTCATGTTATTGCCTTAAGTATTAAGTCAAAGTAGTCATACGAAAGAGTTTGCCTCGTCTGTCATCTCATTTGGTACCAAATGTTTCGGAGAGAGCCTTTTCAGCTCTGAAGGATCTTCTACTGCTGTTAAAGATTCGTAGGAATACCAAATTCAGATAAGACGGCGTAGAAACAATTGTTTTATGTGCTCTCGAAGTCGACCAAGGGGTTGTGTGTATCGATTTCTTTGACGCAGGAATAATAAGAGCCGATAAAATCACTGATGGTGGCTTTAATCTTTCGCACAATATTCAAGAAGCGACTCCCTATGAGATATTACGTTGAGGGAACTCATATTTCAAGCTGAGTTGCGTGCAAAAATATCTTCTTCTTCTCCGTTTTCGTCGGCGGCATTTACGCGGTTATAGTCAAGAGAACAAGAGCGTGGCAATCAATAATGCTTTTAGCTTTTAGGCGCCCATTAGAGACACCAAGTCCCGTCCTTTTACTCCTTATCTTTACACCGACGTGAAGGTTTTGTTCTTCCTCTCCCAAATCCGACTCATAATACGCAGTCGACGCTTCTGCGCTATGTAGCAAAACGGAAATGACGAGCGACCCGTAATGTTTGGTCTTTGTTCGTCTATAGATGATTTTTCCCTTCAAATGGCTATTCAAGTTATAACTGTTAGCAAGAGATTCTGTACAGAAGCCGATGCCTGCCCCTTGTCAGTTCTTCGTCACCATGCTTGAAGAGCCATCGGCTCTTGTTATTTTGCCACTTTTTAAATGACCAATTCACAGTCGGATAAAGTGGGACGTCTATATCATCGTCATCGATTCGGGTTTCGGATCCGCCATCTCCTGCTTTTCTCCTTCAATGCTGTTAAGCCAGTTAGCGAAAGTGCTTCCTCCATTAATTTAAAATACTCTGAACATAAGTCTCCAGGTATTCCCTCTTTTGTTCCTACATTAAGAAGCCTTTGACTTTAGAAAACTCGAGAATTTCAAGTTCTTCATGTCCATCTATCAGTGCGAATATCAGAACTGTGTCTTTCTCTGCAACAAATCCTTCACTCCAACTTATACTCCTCTATGTGTATAATCAATGTAGCAAGAATCACAAAGTCTTATCTTATTCTGCCCTATACGTGATCCTTGATGGTGATGATGTCAGTTTTAATTTCAGCTGGTCCACGGTACCTATACGAGTGGACTTTCCGGGTGCATACCCTTTAGGCGTAGTCCTTAATACGTTTGCAGTGGTCGTCATCAGAATTGAGGCTTCTTTTTCGAGGCTCTTTATTCTATTTTTTAATAGGAACCCAGCCTACAACTTGGTTAGGCAAATAAGATTTAGATTTTAGACACATTTATATATTGAACCACTTGCTGCAATATCGGCATTCGCTCGCAGCTGCACAGACGCTGCAATAATATTCGGAGCTGAATACAGCGGAGTGGATCTGGTGAAGATTTCTCTATTTTCAAAAACTCGCACAAGGGTTACTCAGGGTTTCCAAGGTGCGCAACGTGGGCGAATGAGTAGGGTTAGGGCTCTGCGAACCTACTCGCACTCGCTTATTACCGATAGTAATGGCGGTCTCAAAATTAATATTCAAATACGGAATTGCACAGAAAAATTAAATATTTTACCTCATCTCCCCACAATGATAACTAAACGAAAGCCTCACCTGCGCCGCCATGATGCGCTGTCGTTCGAAAATCAACACACACTTAGCACATTTACAACTTTTATAGGTGCACAGTTTCTTGTGGCCACGCAGCTCAGAGATGATACCGTGATTGCGACAACGCGCACACTTTGGCACTCGATTGGCACCTTTCGCCGGCGCCGGCATACTGCCCACATTTGCTTTGAAAGATTTACTCAAAATACCGCCCCGAGTTTTCTTCGCGCCCATCAGTGAGGCCATGGTGCAGTCACCATTTTTAGCCATATTTATAGATTCCATTTTTACGAAATATTCACTACTTCCGGTCCAATTTGTGTTCTGCTTAATAATCGCTGACTTCCAAATTGAAACTAATCCGCCTGAACTAATCTAATAAAATATATCCTTTGTCCTGTTTTCTATCTAAAATCATTGCCGTGTGATTGGCAACTTTTCTGGTCTTTTGTTGCTAATGGAATATTTATGCATACATACATACATATGCACATTGCTAACGATGTTGCATTGCGCAAACGTGATTTCTGTTTCAATTCAATATTTTTGAAAAATATTCATAAGTAGCTTTATCCTTAGCAACGCCTTGTAGGATACATCGCTGGGCTTTTGTTACAGACTTTATTACCACAAATATCCTTTTCGTCTGGGCAGAGTGTTGAAGCTGTACATACGCTGCTTTCTGTCCGTCTTCTTCTTCCTTTTCAACATCACTAGCCGCACCCCTATTTTATGATTGGCCAGTTGGTTGCTGGCCTGACGCCCTTAAGTACTGTGCTGAAGCGCCTGTGTTTGGATGTACAGCTATGTGAAATATGTAAGCAGATTGGGTTCTGGATTGCAGATAAAACATTGTACTCAAAAGAAATCCATTATTTTTGCTTGAAATTGAAGGCTTTAATTTTTTACTTGTCGTATCCAGCCCCATTCAAATGTTTTCAAACTTTTTTTGTGCAATCTTTAACCCTTGAGCAATCGAAACAGTGCTTACGGGGCAGTCGGATTCAACAATATCCATAATTTTATCGACCTTTTCGACAAATGACCTTCCACTCCGTGATGCATCTTTTACAGAAAAATTACCAGAATGAAACCGAAATTGCGCTGGATTAACTGTAACATTATGAGAACCATAAACGCTAGTTTTAGCCATCTGGCTTCCGTTTTCGTCCTTATTTATTTATTTATTTATTTATTTATTTATTTATTTAATAATAATAACAAAGCATTAGTACAATAAGATTTCCATATCTTTTTTAGTACAACAGAGATAGTGTGAAGAATAAGTAAATATTACTTTACAGATACCTTAACAAAAATAATAATAAAAATAAAAATAATTATAATATATAATAAGTTGAGTATGACAAAAACTTAAACAATTATTGAATGGTCAGTCTATGTTTGAAATTTGGCCTTTAAAATGCATATATATGTGGTTCTTGAAATTGCTTCTGTTTAATTTTCTCCTTAAATTAGCAGGAAGAGAGTTCCATAATCGACTAGCATTGACAAAGAACAGCCTTGATGATTGCTGTGATCTATGAAAAGGTATTATTATATTACCTACTCTGGCTGACCGAGCAAACGATAACTTGGAAAAAAGATAACTAGGTGATTGAGTCATGATGAGCTTGCAAAGAAAAATACAATTTCTGGCTTTATGATAGTCCGCAATCGTACATCCTAATATCTGATCTTTCCAAGACGAAATGTGCTCATATTTGGAAAGACCAAACACGTACCGTGTGACATTATTAAACATAACGTCAATTTTACGAGCAGAAAAACTGTCATGTTTGCTGTATACGACTTCAGAGTACATGATGACCGGAAGAATAATTTGTATAGCAAGTCGGCGTCTGGTAGCAGTGGGTGTATAGATAGCTGACTGCCTAAGATTCCTCAGAATGAGATAGACCTTACTAACTATGGAGTTTACATGATTCGTGCATGTAAGATTAGAATTAATAATGTATCCTAAGTTTTTAATCTTGCTGACTAATTTTAAGGGATAATTGTCTATGAATATTGGGGGCAAAAAATCCAGATTTGTCAGTTTTCTAGCACTGATTGGCAGCACAAAGCACTTGTTTTTATTTAAAATTAGACCGCTGGCAGCCGCCCAGCAAGAGATATCAGCCAAGTCAGTATTAATGCTTTTACATAACTCTTTAGCTTGATCAAAAGGTGCAGATAAATATAACTGAATGTCATCAGCATAACCATGCAGGTTTGAAAATTTGCACACACTGAAGATGTCATTAATAAATATGCTGAAAAGCAGGGGACCAAGGATGGAGCCTTGAGGCACCCCTGAAGTAACTGGCTTGAGTTGCGATGTGTCTTCCCCAATTTTTACAAACTGAAACCTGTCAACAATGTAGCTTTTCACAAGTTTTAAAGCACTACAACTAAAACCAAAGTACGCTTTCAACTTACAGCTTAATAACTCATGGTTGACCATATCAAATGCTTTTGAAAAGTCAAGTAGGCAAAGCAAGGTGAATTTATTTTCATCCATGTTGGATCGAATATCATCACTGATCTTTAGTACCGCAGTACTTATCGAAGAAATCTTATAAAATAAAGCGTATTTTCTCTTTACCAATGTCCATCTTTGAGGCATACTAAAAAAAAACCGAATTAACCAATAAAAAAAAACTATTAGAAAAGCTGTTTTCTAACGGCATCTAGCGAAACCCGATCGGCAATCGGCTCCATGTATTAAAAAAAAGAAATCTTCCCTTTCAATTGAATTAATTTCCCTTTTTATAGAAAACGAGCATTGAAAACCCGTCTCGCTGCTTTTTTGTTCCTAAAAGGGAGGAAGCTTCAGTGGAGCCACTCCGACATATTCGCTTTGAGGGTTCACGGATGTTTAATCGGCTTAATTCGGTTTAATTCCCCAGCCGAGCGGTTAGCGCGGTCGTCGGTCTTGAGGAATCGATCTATGAATCGATTTTCGACCGAGCTCCACTTCCAATTTGTAGGATCAGTCTTATTATTTTCTCAACAAATGGATGGTCCTACAGTTTATACTAAGCCACTTCCGAACGGCTGGTGTTTTTTATTTCTGTTTATTTCATGTCATAAATACACTCGGAGGGCATGGCATTTTTATTTAAATTAATTTTCTACAATTGTTTTTTTTTGTGGATATTGGTTGGATCAGTCCTCGAAACATTCCGTCCCAAATGGTAACACTAAGGCTATAAAAGAAAATAACACGATTCTCTAATCGATGACGATGGTAAATACATTTTTAAAACAAAATAAATTGGGCAAATTTCCTTTTTGGCCTTTCGATGATATTTATATCGTCGGCCTTGATAACCTCTCCGTAAGTTCTGCTTTTTCCACGTCACTTTCGGCAGTCATGGCTTTGTAAACGACTTCGTCGATTTATTTTAATAATTCTTCCTACTCGAATGGGTGGATGAATTACGGCACATTTATATAGGATCCGCTTGACTCAAGACCGACACTGGCTCGCATCCGCATATCTAGTGAGCAGACTCTGTATGAAAACCAGCTTGTCGGTTTCAATCTCAAAACCTCACTTTTTAAGATTTCAACTACAAATATAAAGAAGGCAGATCTAAGGCAGATATAGACAAGATTATTTTATTTGTGCATTTTGTTAAAAAGCTAATTCTCATTGATTTAAAAAAGTCTATGCTTCAAAATAGAACAAAAATTAATATACCCGTCAATTCTTTGCTTATGATAAATATATATCCTAAAATTTTGTTGGTTTTTATTAGTTTATCCCGTGAGTGTCAAAGATTGTGCGAACACTCATTATTGCAAAAAATCTTAATGTTGTGCAAGTCTAGGCAAGTAGAATGATATTGCAAGAAAACTAGCTTTGTTTAGTAGTGCTTCATAAATCTTCCCTGAATGTCAAAGCAAAGAAATAATAAATGGCAGTGATGCTTACTCTAACTAGATTTGGGTTTCATTGTTTTCACTGAGCTCTAGAACCAATTAAATTAACTATTCCAAATGGCTTCTTATTTTAAGCCACTGAGTTTGATTTTTATAAAAAGTTTGCAAAATACTTTCCTGTAAACTTCATATATTTGATGAAGTACGCAACAGATTTACCCTATCGCGTTGGCAAGCAACACTGCTGCGGCGGCCATTCGAGAAATGTAACCGACGACAACGCCGAATGAAATTTGCTTGGCAGTCGGAATTTCATCATCGATAAGTCTGCGTGGAAAATGGAGCGGTAATAGCTAAAGGTATAACAACAGCGAAAAACGCAAAGAAAACGGCCTTTTGTCCGCTATTTCAGCGAATTTTTTGTTAAAAGCAAAAATTTACCAAAACGACGACTTCTACCACTGCAACTACATCCACTCACTACCACCAAAATCACTATAAACAAAAAATATCAAATACATCCAAGCAGCAGCAGCAACGTAGACGCAAGCAGAATTTTGTGATGAAAAAATTTAATGATCAATCAGAATTAATTGCCACAGCGAATACAGCTAAAGCACCAGTAGCGAAAACAGCAATAACCCTATCAAAATTAATCATATTAACTACAATAGAAAAGCAGAAACTGGAAGATCTGCAATATAATAAATTCCAACATCAACAAGCAGCAGTTGTGAATCAAGTTGGCGTTGTAGGAGCATTTGCTGTAGCAGCACCACTAAAAGCGCAGTCGGACGGAACATCGTTGTCGTCGACTGCGGCGGAGGTAGCAGCAGCAGTGAAAACTTTCCATATTGAAAATTTTAATTTGATAGAATCTTTAGGTTCTTTCCTAAATTCATCTGGTTTTTACGTATAAAAAATTTCCAATTCTGCAATTTGACTTCACACAGAAAACCATATTACACATCATCAAGTATAATCCAATCAGAAAATAAAAACAATAGCAACACAGTTTTCATCGTCCAAAATAAGTAAATCGCAGAAAGTACACCAATTCAAAAAGCCAGATAGGCTATAGTCATAATTTTATGCGATAACATTTGGACTTGCATAAATACATACTTCTCAACCAACCCTGTGCAGTATTTAAATTTATTTAAATTTCACAAGTTACGATTTGCTGGGAAAGCCAGCACAAACGGGAGTATTTAGTATTTAGATGACTCCATCCACCATTTTGAACTTACAAAATTGTATTAGCACCAACGTATGCAGCAGAGGTAAACCAGAAACGGCGTAGCTGAAAGTCAACGAAAACCCGAAGCACTCGGCAAGCGAAACATATAAAGAGGAAGAAAAGTAGCTGTGGAAGATCAACTGGCATTCAACGTATAGTAATTGGCATAAAGCGGCGGAAATTGAGGAAAGGAGGAGAAACGGAATAAAATAAACAAAAAATATAGTTTATTATACGAACGCAGCCAACAACATATACGACTCGATACAGCTAGAGCAGACGGAAATTGGTATTGCAGCCAACAAGTCGTAGCAGGCCGTAGTGATAAATAAAAATCCACAATCTGTGGTAATAGGCCGCGAACGAGTGGATAGCAATTGTGTGAAGATTCCTAAACAACAAGGAATAATTACTCGGTTGTGTTTTATGTGGACTTGTATGGGCTTGTTGTTTTGAATTTTGTTTCGGAAGCAATTTGTGAAAGGAGAAGCGGATATAGTTGCTTAGTCAGTATTCCAACAGAAATACCCGAAAAAAACTTTACTAAATATTAAAAAGTTCTACGATTCCGGTTAATTTTATAAGTCTACTTGTGAAAGTGTACTGTTCTAAACTACGCGTACAGTGTACACAGTTTCAAACTTTTGCGAATACCATTTGAATAAATTTCCAACTTCTATTTCTGCACTAATTTCAAAATATAACAATTCTCTTCGAATACATCCATAAAAACAACACATCCAAAATACCCTAAATTTGCTTAAAATCGAAAGGGTTTATAAAACCACGTAAACTCGGAAAACCGCAAACTAATCAATCGCAAGAAAAATGGTCGAGCGCATAATAGAGGAAGAGGAGTGCAGTAGCGGCGCCCAAATAATGCCTACTACTGTTGCCAATGGTACTAATGTAATGACGGGCAATAATAGCAATGCTGCTGGCTCAGCTGGTAGTGGTAGCGACAGTGGTGTAGGCGGTCGTGGCACTTTCTCTACGGACACCGATAATAGTAGTCAATCAGGTGAGTTCAATAAACTAAATGCATCATTTAGTCAAATTCTCAGCAAATAGAATTTAAAGTATAAATAAGTGTGCTATATATCCACATTTTTTTTTCATAATAAGTACGTATAAAAGTGCATCGGTTACAAGCAGTTGTGCTAAACTAATGTAGTTTTTGTTGAGTTACACAGCACTTTCTGTGTAGTTCTCTCGATTTATAGCAGTCTATATATACTGAATAGTACAGATGCTCGCAAGTATCTACCTCCATATACGTGAAACAATCTAATTGGATATTTGAGTAGGAAAAAAAGTAAGAAGAAGCGCTAGTTGTTATTAGACTAATATCTTTCTTCAAGCTGGTCAAATCTTTTTTAATTGCCAGAAATATGGAAAGGCACATCACATAAAAATTAAATTTATATATACTTTTTTTTTGTTTTGCAAACTGATGAAATATATAATATTTTGGCGGATTTGCAGTAGCGGTTAGACGCAACGTCGCAATTATAGAAATGACTCAGCGGGTCTTTTTCATTTTTAAGAATAACAGCGAAATCGGATGAGCAGCACCTACACATATATACATACATATAAATATGTATGCACATGGCATGTAAACAAATTAAATTTAATAAATAAGCTGTGACATTGCATCATTCATTGCCACTTATCTTCGACTTTATAAAGCAATAATCCCTTACTGTGATTAACATTTGCTGGTGATTTAAAGCTGGCTCATTATTGTTTCTTTTTTTTTTCAAGAAATCAATAAATGAAAATATACTAATACAGTTGCGAAAAGATGCAAACTGAAAAAAGAAACTAGTAAACAGATTGTGAATGAATAATAAAAGGAAACGAAATTTTAACAGCACCTGCCGTCGACTTCAACTTTAGTCGCAGCAGCGTATAGCTCGCTGTCATGGTTATTCGCTTACGTCAGCAGAGGCAGAATTTGCGAAACGTTGCATTACAGTTTGCAGCTTGAGTGCTCAAGTGGCGGCTGGCTAACCTTGATGACGTTTATTGCACTCGTGTGCATTTTTGCTGTTGTCGAAATAGAACACAAATAACAGCACAAACATAATAAAACCACTACTCGTTGTTGATACATTCATTGTCGTCGCTGACGGTGCATAGACTAGTTGCTTGGTTGATGCACAAAGTAGATACAACTAATATATACGTACCTGCATACATATGTAGTATGTAAATATTTACCTGTGCATAAAGGAGCTGAAAAAGTGGGAGAAGTATGTATTTTCCACAACAATGAAAAATATTTATGTGTTAAGTTTCTTAATGTTTTTATCTATGTTTTTGTAAGAAAATTTATGTGCTTACATACTTACTAGAAATCAAGGCACCATCAGAGTACATACATACATACATGTGAATTTCTATTATATTTATTAATTAGCTTCTCCGACCTTTTGTCACTGCAAACCCCAACGGTCTCAACCGACGTCAGCTCCGAAACGTTGGGGGCAAAAATGAACAGCATTCACACAGAACGAAAATAAAAACAATATACGTCAAAAGAAAAAAAAAAACATACACACAAATATTTTCCACAACAGCTTTTTCCCGTACTGCAATCCCCCATTTGTCTGAATTAATCATTACATTTTGTGTCTGACTTAAGTCACGGCAATGGCGGAGGCGTTAACACCTTTAACCGCAATTGCACTCGTTTGCAGTTATGTAGCTTCAGTTGTTTTCAATTATCTTTAAACCCCTTCCTTCGTGCTGGGCGAACATCTGTGTGTGTGTGAGTATATTGTTCTTGTTATCTGCTTCACCTTTCTTTACTTGGTCTTCGTCATAAACAAACAAACAAACAAAAATTTGTACGCATATCTTGTCACATTTCACATGCCTTTACATTATTGTTTTGCTTTGTTTTTGTTGTCAAATTTCTTATACGCTTCACACTGCCAATTATCAGTGGCCACGTTGTACTTGCACTACATATGTTTTATTGACTTTTCTTATTTACGTTTTTTTTTACTTGTTTTGTTTTTATGTGTTTTTCCTTTTGTTTTTATTCTTCGTGTGCCTACGTGATTTTTTGTTTTCATTCCTCGATGGAGAAGCGAAGTCATGTTCGCTGACGTTTAGCCTCTCTGCTGGAGCGCTGTTCTGTCGTTTGACGTTGTCGTGAGAGTAAAGTGCGTGACAGCGCCGAAAATCTCATTGGCTTGCGCAAATCTTATTGGAAATATCCCATTTAATAATATAAAAGCGAGAATGAAATCGAATTGGATTATTGCGAAAATGTATCGACAATCTTGGTGGTGTGATGTGAATAAGTGGTAAAATTGTTGATTTAGTTCGCTTTGATTTCTTCGCATAATTTCAGTTTGAAGCTAAAAATATATATATTTCCCTACAAGTAGTATGTTTATTGCTATGAAAAAAATTAGTACTTGAAAAGTTGAGCTTTGGAGAAATTTTTATTGTTTCAATATTCGCTGAAATTTGACAATTTTGTTTCCATTTATTCACTATACAATAAATTTATTTGGTTCATTTTCAATTATTTTACTTCCTACCTAAATCATATGTGTATGCATATATTCCTATATACATACATATGGGTTTACATCAATATGTCGCATTTATTTCTTTGTAGGTATCTTATTTCTCTTACATTCTCTTTTCTACCAACTTAAAATCTCTTACAATTTAATTTCTTTTTTCTGCTTTCTGACGTTTGAGCGGCGGCCGGCGCTTTTATACTTTTGAACGAAATTTAAACGAATTTCGCATTTCGTCGTCGTGACAGCTTATATTCGATTGCTCTCCCACTGGTTTGTTGCTTTAAAAACCAAACTACGACGCAAATTATAAATGGCAAATTTTTTTTTATTTGTTTCTTTGTTATATGTGTGCTGCCGCGACGTACAAAAAATTAGTTTGTACAAAAACTAAAAATCTGTGAATTCAAAATATGTACATATGTATGTATATATATTATTGCGTTTAGAACCGGTAAATTGCTTGTTTGCTGCTTGCTTCCTATATTTTTTCGCTAATAAATTCTTCTGTATGTATGTTTTTCTATGCAAAAAAAAATCTTTTCCACACACCCATGCTGGTCTGCTTGATTAGCTTAATTTGTGTGGGCTGTTGAAAAAGACTCGCCACCACCCAATTTCTAAAATATGTTACTTGATTTTATTCTCAACTCGCAGCTATGACTTGGAAGCTGCCTACGAAATGTGACCCTTATTTGGTGGGTTGTTTTTTTTTTTGATTGTTTTTTAATATTTTAATTGTTTTTTAATTTTTTTAATTTAATATTTATTTCTAACTTCAAATTTAAAAAATTTTTTTTAAATCTTTTATTTTATTTTTTTTTTAAATCTTTTATCTTATTTTTTTTAAATCTTTTTGATGGTTTTTTTAATAGTTTTTAATTTCTTTAAAATAATTTTTAAATTTTTTGAATTAAATTTTTAATTAATTTTTAATTTTAAAAAACCTAAAAAAATTAAAAAATAAAAACAAAAAAAAATTAAAAAAAAAAATTAAAAAAAAATTAAAAAAAAATTTAAAAAAAATTAAAAAAAAAAAATTAAAAAAAAATTTAAAAAAAAAATTAAAAAATAAAAAAAAATTAAAAAATAAAAAAAAAAATTAAAAAATAAAAAAAATTAAAAAAAAAAATTAAAAAAAAATATTAAAAAAAATATTAAAAAAAATATTAAAAAAAAAAATTAAAAAAAAAAATTAAAAAAAAATATTAAAAAAAATATTAAAAAAAAAAATTAAAAAAAAAAATTAAAAAAAAAATTCAAAAAAAATTCAAAAAAAATTCAAAAAAAAAAATCAAAAAAAAATTTAAAAAAAAATTTAAAAAAAAAATTTATTTTTAAAAAAAATTTACAAAAAAAAAATTAAACAAAAATTTTTAAAAGAAAATTAAAAAAAAAAATAAATTAAAATTTATGAAATTTGTTTTTTTTTTTAGAAACTCTTAAGTTTTTTTAAAATACGAACTTTTTTTAATAAATTTAAAAATATGTACGCTTTTTACTAGTAATGACAAATAAGTTGCTTTTACTTAATTGGATACTCTTTTCTTTACCTGCAAAATTTTTTTAAAATATGTTGTGTGCGAATATGGCCTTTGCTTGCATACTGTATATTAATTAACCCACCTTTAGTTGTAACTGTAATTTTTATTTTATGTTTATTTACTCAATTTGTAAATAAAAAATACCCAATGTGAACAGCTGAAAGCAGTTAAATTCCGGTAATTCTCTTTGGAGGCGCGTCATATCGAGTGTCAAATGAAATTAACACAGAAGCAACATGTGTTATATACGAAGATTTTCCAAATATTAAAAATCTTCCAGTATTTATATAATGCGATAAGCCACTTAACATTTTCATAAAACCCTTTAATATTTTTTTTAATCCCTTTATTATTAACATTATCCTTAAATGAGATTATTCTACATACATACATACATACATATTACCATTTCAAGGATTACATATTTATGGCCTACGCTCATTAAATTTTCAACTAAAAGTGAAAAGGTGTGCACATCTGTCTATGAATTAGAAAGATTAGATTATCGCGTCAGAAGACGTCAAGACACAGACACAGACGCGAGTCAAAGCCGTCGGCTAATCACACAATGGCTTTATTTATTATGAAGGTTATTCTAAATATACATACATACGTATGCACATATTCTTAAGGAATACATACTATTGTGTCCATACGCATATACATATGTATTTGTAAGGTAGTGTGTGTACTTCCCTTACATATGCACATAGGTTTTCGTCAAAATATTGTATTAATGTCTTGACAATTAACGCAGAAAATTTAGCGCAGACCTATTGTGTTAATCGAAGAGACAGTCGTCATTTATTAATGAGATAGCAATAAATAGATTATTTTTCTTTTGCATATTTATCCTATTAGTTCAAATGTATGTATGTAGATATCGAGCCCTTTTGAAATGTGTACGGCTAAAGGAAATAATGAGGATTATC